AACAGCGTGATGTGCACCAATCAAATCTAAGCAGGACAGAAACGACTAATCATCGTCAAAGACCGACTGTCCTCGCCGATGTTTGTGGGGAGGTGAATTTTTATTTCTGTTTGATTTTAATTCAAGGACGGGAAACGTCTCGCTGCGGCCAATCAGCAGCCGTTTTAAGGAAGATGAACTTGTTTGTCTTCAGGCTTTGATTGTGACAAACGTTTTTTTCTCTCTTATAGATTTTGAGATTTTCCTTTAATATCGTTGCTTTTATTAAAGCGTTGCTGTCGCAGCTTAATGACTCGATCCAAAATCACCATAAAGCAGGGCTAATTTAGAAATATTGGATTTCGTTTGCTGAAATGTCCCCAGATTGACTGTTGCCTCTGTTTTATCTGCAAACCTCAGTCTTTGGTAACAGTCCCATGAAATGACTGAATTTCATGGTCTGAGTTTCATCACCAGACCAAAAAAACATTCACGCAAAAACTGTGTTTTTCTCTCTTGCTGCTTAATTTAGGCAGAAAAACCTGAACATTTCATTCAGATTGAAAACAGCTGCTTTCATTATTTTTCATTATGAGCAACAGCAGCTTTTTAACTTTACTATGATTTTTTAAAGAGTTTTACCTACTAAGGATTAACATTTAATAATAATTAATAATCCTCATTCCCTATTGAATGCCTCGGGAGCAGAGATGGGCAGTAACGCGGTACTGTAATCCGATTACTTTTGTCAAGTAACGAGTAAAGTAAGGGATTACTATTGCAAAAACGGTAATTAGATTACTGTTACTTTCCCGTAGGAACGCTGCATTACTGCGTTACTAAAACCATGATTTTTTTGCAGAATGTCTCATGACAGTGACGTAAGCGAGTGCGCCGTTAGTGACAACAGCTGTGTGCAGATCAACAATGGATCATATATCAGTGCAGAGAGAGTATGAGCGTGCAGCGTTTAAAGCGTGGAAGTACTGACCTTACTTTGAGTTTGATTCCATAAAAAGTGACAAAAACATTAGTGTCCGCTGTGCGTGGGAAGAAAACTTCTTTTTACAGCGAAAAACCCCTAAACTTCCAACAAGCACCGAGTAGCTACGACGTAATGGGAACCTCACAGAGAAACTCGCGGATTCTTCCACTGACCGCGGCACACCTGCACCAGGGTAAACCTCCGCCTACCCCACTCCTGCTTTACAGGTGAAAATAGAGCAACAGGACCGCTGAGTCTTTGACTTTATTTATTTTCTGCTGTGTTTTACTTGCATCTATTTGAAAGACTGAGTGTAAACACAAAACCCTTTTTATTTTATGTGCTGGAATGTGCAGAAAATAGGTTTAAATGTTAAACTAATTTATTCCAGTTAGAGAATGTTGCAGATAATTACATTTTTGCTTGATGCATAAAGTTAAAAGATTAAAACTAATAAAACAAGTTTTAAAAAGAGACTTTTCCATCTGATTACATTTTGTATGATGGATTATGCAGAAAAAGTAGAATTGGGCTGAAAGATCTATCGCTTTATCACCTACTCAGGTTGTAAATCGGGTTTTTAAAAAGTAACTAAGTAACTAATTACTTTTGAAAATAAGTAATCAGTAAAGTAACGGGATTACTTTTTGCGGGAAGTAATCAGTAATTAGTTTCTGATTACTTTTTTCAAGTAACTTGGCCAACACTGCTCAGGAGCAGGATGGGCGCCTCACAGGTGAAGCCTTCAGTTTTCAGGCCCCTCTGCTGTGGAACCAGCTTCCAGTTTGGATTCAGGACACAAACACTATCATGTCTAAACTGCTGACAGTAAGTAGTAATTCCAACAATGTGAAGAATAAATGAGGATATTTATGCAGGTCTTCATCTGACTTCAGCTCAGAGATGATGCTCGAGGTAAGGAGGAAGATGAGGGAGGAGAGAGAGCAGCAGCAGAGGATGGGACATAATGAGAAAGAGAAATGAAAATATACATGTTCAAATGTTCAGAGGTCATGTATAATGTGAAAGAACTTTTTTAAAGAGGCTGGTCTCGAGCCACATACGTAGAATGCAGTTATTCAGAACAGCAACGCAACGGCACCAAACTGGCACTCGCTCATTTTAACGGATTGATTCTAAATTTATGGAAATGTTTGTCAGAAGATGTAATTACAGAATAATTCGTCTATATTTACGATCACAACATCCTTTTTTTAAATAAATAACCTAAAAAATGACGGACTGTTGCTTTGACACCATGCTACCCCAGCACCTCCTCGTCACCTGTTCCCTTCACCTACCTGCTCCATCACCCCTCTCCCCGGGGACGCTTTCTACCACTTACAGCAGAATTCCTCTGCGTCCTCCACGTGTGGAGGATACACACCGACAATATTCAGCATCACTGTCTGACCCTCTGTTCACCTCCACAACATTATCCCTGCTCCATCGCTCCTCCTACTTACACCATGGAACAACACCCAGTGCTCCTGCCCTGCTCTCCTGCGCACACCACAAATCCATAGATCCACCCTCCTATCTCTGCTCTCTCCCTTTAGCAGTCATAGGCCCTACGGTTGGAGCTCAGCTCCACCCTCGTGCCATTCCTTCTCTCTCGCTGCCTCCTAACATGCCTTCCCCGTCTCCTCTTCTTTGTCTTCAGTCAACAGTAGCACAGCTTCCACCAGCACTCTGTTGGTCAACAGCACCGAGGCTATTGTCGTTAACCCCGATCACCCTGACTGATCTGACCCCGCCCAGCTTAAAACTGTGAAACAGTGTTGTCAGGCACCATGTAGGGCTGCCTTCCTGCAGTGCCTGCCTAAAACTCACTGTGGGAAATGTGTTTTTTCACAGTGTGTAAATAGCAATAACTGCTTTCAGGCTTCCTCTTCACCTCTCTGCTAATCTCCCCTCACTGCAGCTCACACAGTAATAACTTTGGAATAAATTACTGAGGTGAACTTGGCAAATGTTTAAGTGGAGACACAAAAAAAGGTTTTAATTTGGAAAAAAGGGGAAAAAATCCCAAAATGCTCCGACTCCCACACAAGCTGAGAAAGTCCTTCTGCTTCTGTGCTGGTGTAATTATCCCAACCAGGCAGATACCACACGACTACATGATGATGATAACTTCCTCAGTAATCACCACACACACACACACACACACACACACGCACACACACACGCACACACACACACACACACACACACACTCAAAACTAATAACACTAAAAACACATCTTGAGCCAAACTCGTGGGGACGGTCCCCACAGGTATAGTA